AGTCAATAGGTTGATGTGATGGTACCAGATGAGATGGCTGACTAGGCAGACCAATAGTAGGATGATATACCTTTCAAATAAGCTCCCTCCCAACTTTATCCACCCAGGCTAGCTAGAGATCCATGGTTATCTTTTAGGGTTGATGGAAATCAAATACCACTGATGAGTAAATACACTGCATAATCGGGATTATATTGACTTGGGATTAGGGATGGACACACTAGAGCCTCAGCTTGGAGTCTCTGGCTATATAAGTCATCTTCCTTATAATGTTGGAGTACCAGATATTCTCTTTTATATGATGGAATAGCAACTACAGTGATTATATCATATTATGGCGACCAGATACCATGTTTTATTAATAATACTCTTTAAAACCTTCCTGACAGTACTTAAATTATGTATTTTCATCAAGTACCTACGGAGATAGAGGCTCATCAGTTTTAAATCAGTGAATGATTGGCTAGTACTGCCACAACTATTTAGCTGCCACTATAGGTTACTAAATGAAAGTTGTTCATATAGTCAAAATATACAACTTTGGTTTTGTGACAATCTGTGACATAGTCTGATGATTGTACCGTCAAATGGTGAAAATTTCCTTTTTTGGAAAGTTGTCCTGCTTATCACTCCATATTACGGTATATAACAGCATGGCACAGGTACCGAATAGTGGTTATTAACCAAAAGTTCCTTTTTAGGACACTCTGTCACATGTCACATAGTAGACTTGATTCCGATAGCCTATGTCGTATTATTCACCTTTATTCACCCCTACATGCTGGACTTAGCGAAAATCTGCCTTGGACTTCACAATTATTCACCCCTTCACCAACAATTATTCGCCACTTGGGGAATTGCTGATAACGCTGGGGCTTATCAGTGGCAACCTGCGTCGTTGCCACTGATAATGTACAGTGTGTTGTGGGCTAAACAGGTGGAATAAAAGCAATAAATTCAACATAGTTAATACAATTTAATAGCTACACACTACAGCCCCGCCTATAGCGGGCGCAGGCCAGAATCATTGATCAAAATGCAAATCCTCTGGCCAGATCTGACACATCATCGTCGTGTTGTGTTCGGCCGGTCCCACTGAGCGCGAGGATATCTGCTTGGACCATGCAGGTGCAGAACACCACGCGCGTACGGTGGGGGCATTGTCTGCATGGGTGTTGCGCCCGAACGTAGGAAGGGGCGCGGAAGAGGCGGGCGGGTGGGCGGGAGGCAACGGCGGGCCCGTTTGGGCTGAAGCTTTCAAGGATTGCAGGAGCAACCCGTCCACACTAAATGCTTCATTCTGTGACAAAACGGCCGAAGATTGGTGGCGGGGGAAGGCGGGGAAGGCAGGAATGGGAAGGGGCGCTGGGCCAGAACGCGTCGGTTGTTGGCCGTCGTTAGGAGTAGAGGTGGAGACAGGGAGGTGGGAAAGGTTTGGCGGGATTCGGGCCAGAAACGAGTGCGGAGTAGGCAGGACAAGTTTCGGCCCATTATGGCCAATGCGTCGGCCGACGCGCGGGAACGGCCAGAGCGACGAGCTCAGTCTTCGGTCTTCGGGAAGCGACGGGGCGTCCCGCACTCTCCTCCGAAGATGGGGCGAAACGGGCAAGAGTTGGCCGCAGGAGATGGGGGGACAAGTTGTGGCTGAGCGAAGATATTGTGATTGGTAAGCAAAGAAGGGCTGGGAGGCGGTCAGAGGATGACGTAGGAGAACATCGACGACTTACAGAGCTACCCAAGGCTCGACCTTACAACGAGCCGTGATCCCCTCCAGCCGAGCTGCAGCAGCCTTGACCATCGCTGTGTGTGGGCCATTTGGACTTGAATGAAGGGCTTGAGATGCTTGAAAACTTGCCGTTGAGGGGAAAAGCTTAGTGGATTGATGGAATTGAGGCAGTAGAGTGTTGAGGAGTGGAATTGAGGCTATGGGAGGGTGTCCAGGGGGCGGGGGGTGAGGGGAAGAGGAAGGAAGAAAAACGGCGAAAAGTCGCCGACAGCAATCAGCCATCTGTCATTCACATGACAACGTGACGGAACATTAGGGCCGTATTTTGATGAATGACTTGGGGCTCTAAAAACGGTTTGCAGCTCAATAGTTACAATAAAGCCTTTTAATTCTGTCCAAAACTTCACACCTTCATGATCAATTGACTTGTGATATACTCCCCACCTTCTCACATTGATACAAAAAATTTTGTATTTGTTGGCTGCAAAGATTATTGCAGAATAAGACCAAAGATTAATTTTAAAGACCAAAGACTGCTGGACAAAGACCAAAGATCTAAAAGATCTGATGCCCAAGACCAAAGACCCTCTGCAAAGACTAAAGATCTAAAAGACTTTTTGACACTTTTACTGATTAGTACATCGAGATTTGTTTCCCATATTGTCCAGAATGCGCCCAATCCTGTGCACATGCCCATGGGCATTTTCCCATAGTAATCTGATGTGGGCATAACCTGCAGGATGGGTCTATTTATCCTGTAGGATAGGTGTACTTATCCTATAGGATGCTTGAACCCGTGTCCTATAGGTTAACCAACCAGTCCTGTAGGAATAGTTCTCTATAGGATACATAGCAGATATCTGTCCTGTAGTATTGATACTGCTAATATAACCTGTAGGATACTTGTACCAATCCTATAGGATAGCTATCCTATTTGTCCTACAGGATGGCAATATACCTGTCCTACAGGATAAATAGACCCATCCTGCAGGATGGAATTACAGCTGTTTTCAAAATAGTTGGCCGCAGCCTGATTTTTTGTCACACATCAAAATTTGCATAAAATTTCTGAGAGTGTGGAGGCTCTTTGTTACTCAAAACTATATATTCCTATGTAAACTTTAGAATGTCTGGACCCAACGACCGGCCCTGGCCTGCTTGCCACGCACTAGTTTGGCGGGCGGGCAAGTGTGAGGGGCTGTGTGACGACTCATCACTCCTATGCCATATGATGGTCATGCTTGCGAGCGGTGTTGGTCAAATGGGAGAGAGCTCAGAGGGGGAAGGAGTGGCGGGGTGGGAAAGAATGCAAGGGACAGGGTGGACATGTTGGGGCTGTAGTAGCCATGTGAACGGGGCAACTTCAGGCGCTGGTGTGGTTGGAGATGGACTGGGGCAATTTGAATGTAACTGGGGTGAAGAGGGTTGCAGGAAGGTAGTGGAGAGAGTGGTGGTGGTGGGGAACAAAACACAGGTGATGACATCCTCCCCTTTGCCCTGTACCAATCGCGGTAGGTGGCAGCAGGAAGCAAAGCATCAAACACGCTGAGCAGTCACGTTGTAACGTATTGTTGACATGAAACCCTTGCTGATATTCTTATATAAAAATATGTATATCTATCCTGTAGGATGGGTCTATCTATCCTACAGGACAAGATAGGTCTATCCATCCTGCAGGACAATGTAACCATCCTGTAGGACAATGCAACCATCCTGTAGGATATGTACCTATCCTACAGGATAGACCCATCCTGCAGGATGGATAGACCTATCCTGCAGGACATGCCCATGGGTACCCATGGGCACATGCCCATGTGCGATGCCCATGGGCATCCGCACAGGATTGGGTTCGCTCTCATATTGCCGCATCCACACCCTGCACCAAATTTTGAATCGCCAGCCACAGAATAATCGACCCTGTGGCAAAGCTGCGCATTCGCCAATGGTGAGGCACCGTCGAAAGAACAAGGAATAAAGAGAGGAAAGCAACAACGGAGAGTGTCGGAATCATGTCGAAGATCGTGGGCCAGCCCCTACCAGAGAGGAGAGCTCTTCAAGAGCGGAGACTTTCAGGATGTAGCACCCAAGTAGAGCAATTTTAAAGCTTGCGGTACATTCAAGTTTCGACTGCCAGTGCTGGTAACACGGGAGAGGAACAGGGAATCTGTTGCGCTTCTTCAGGATTGGGAACTGGGAACTGTAAGTCGAAGTATAGCACAAGATGGATTGAGATTGCAACTTCTCTATTTTAGAAAGCTAGCCGATTCGCCTGCCTCCAGGATATTCGCTCGGCGTTCGGAATAGTTAGCAAGTGTTCGGACCTATGCAAATTTGTAGTCAACCACATGATTCGAAACGGGAGTTGAGCTTGAGGCCAGCGACAACTTGAAGTAAGGGTACATCGCCACCCTTATGGATGGATGGCCGTAAGAATCGTCCAAGATATCGCTGTGCAGCCAACCAAGCTGGTTGAAGAGAACTTGATTTGTGGAGGCTGTGACGAAGCTGATATGATTTTGTTTCGCCACCTCCATCTTGATTCTTGAAGTCGACAACCTCTTCCAAAACGGAGCTGCATGCGCACGCTGCGTGGGACCCAAACACCTGGCCGGTCGAATAAACGGTGTGCTGCTGTTATAACGCCCAAACTGCGCTTCGGTTTCGACTACAAGCCTCCCGAATGGTTTGGCGTTATAGAGGATGGGTCGAAGGTGCTGTGTATCAAGATGCGGTGGAAATCCCATTCGCAATCAAGCTTGGGGTCCACAAGTGCGTTTGCTTCCCCCGTCCCTTGCATTGCAACTAATTTTTTTGGTCTGGCTCTCGTCAGTGCCAACGGGAACCTTCCCCTCATCCCGTTCGCTCCCGATGAGCACCTCTTAGGCCCAAGTTCAGGCTTGTTCAGCCTCCCCTCTGGTCCCGCCGACAATGCCATGGACAGAAACCGCTTTCACAATACCATCGTTGCACCCGCTGCTTTGCTAACCGCTCCGCGACATTCTTGACGATGTATACCGCTACACCAATAATGGATACTATAGCGTTCCATATCTCTGCTCGTCCCTCCTTCATTTTCCCACCTCCTCAAAGTTTATGATGTTACCACTTTCTCGATTCCCGGACAACTTGAGACCTGCCACCCTTCGAACGCACACACGGAACCCCATCTCACCCCCCAGAAAACCTCCAAACTCATAGAACACCCGCTTTTGCAAATACTTGGTCGCCCGCCGTTTTTACCACGCAACCCTGCTCTTTCCTTCCATCTCCCGAGATGCACATCGCAGGGCTCTTTCGAGTGTCTCTCCTGGTGAAGCGGACTGCCCATGGGAATCACAATCGTTTCCGGCCAAGAATATGCGCAGGAAGCCACTTGTGGCAGGCCTTTTCTGGCGCAATGCGATCTTGGGCATACCTCCATTCTCTTCGGCATAGCAAACTGCCGGAGTGGGCATTATTGCTCCTTTACAGAATGGAATTTGTTTCTTGCGAAGAAAATATCGTTCCGTCGGCGAGACCATTGTGGGACAATAGACACTATTGCTCGCGATCGAGAGATGAACCCTCTGAAGGCAGCGACCAATTATATGTAACTTATGGTGAGCAACAAATATCTCTTTCTCATGTTGCTCTAAACTTTCAAGTAGTATGGAAGTCGTCGTTTGTCAGTCCGAGTCAGCAACATCTGCAAGTTTTCGACGTCAAGACTCCGATTCTCGCCTTCATAAACCTCATCTTTTTGGGTTTTCTCAAAACCCTTATCCGCCCGCAAACCTATCTTTTGGTGTTTCGCGACCGTCTTTAGTCACGTGACCCTGCGTGGATACTTTCTTTTTTGCGTCCTCTGCCTCGGTCAACCTATACATTATTCAAGTGTATATCGTGCCGGAGTAGGCTGTCCTCGATATCCAGGATTGTTTTTCTCCGAACAATATGGACGGGATATCATTTGCCGGAGCATTTTGTCGGCACCATGGGTCACAGTTATCCTAGTAGGGGGAGCTGTTGGACCAAATTTCCCTGTCGTTGGTGGCTCCAAATTGCCCTTCCAGTCATTCCGCACCGCCGCCGGACCCACTAGCCCTGTCGTTTGCATTCATGCTGGTTTCGTGGCAAGTGCTCCTGAAGCACTTGGCCGATTTCGAAAATGGCCCCGTCAACGTACCGACATAGGCCGGGCATACTAAATCATTCGCTCCACCCACCCGAATGGCGTCGTTCGATTGGAAGGAGCTGTTCTTTGCGGCCGGGAGGCAGGACGACATGCTTTGTTTGCATGCAGCACAATCTCCTCCCTAGTCTTTCCAACTCCACAAATTTAAATTTTATCCACTGGTTTTCCTTCCAAGTATATGTGATTCATGGGACATGCAACCAGTATTGCATGGAGCGTGAGGCCTTGAGGCTCTCAGTCTTAGTGATGAGACACGAATGAAACCTCACATTTCTCTGAGATCGCACTTACTCCTACACCAGGATGTCTAAGCAATTAAGATTCGACAAAAACGACCTCCCAGTCTAAAACTTAACGCTAGAGGCAATAACTTCGAAGCGTGCTATCTCTGGTGCAGCACCAAGGAGCTTGTCCGCATTGGCGAACAAGGCTGCACGGACTTTCCCAGCGAGATGCTTTCCGCGTGCCGCCTCGTCCTCAAAGAACTCGATAATGGCAAACTTGTCGGCAGGGAACTCGACCGCATACCAGAGCGGCATGAAGTCCTCCTCCTCTACAAGCGCCCTTTCCGCATCGCCTGCGAGGAAGTCGCGCAATGCATTGGTCTGGCCGGGCTTGGGCGTGAGGAGTACCCGGACGCCAATCGTCGCGGGTTTCAACGGGTCCACCTTGTTTGCGATAATGGCCGCTTTGGCGATCTGCGGGTCGGAGGCCAGGAGTGTGGCGGCGTTGGCATTGAGGGCCCCTGCAACTTGGCCAGCGAGATGGGCCTCCCGGCCAGCGTCGTTGCGGAAGGCATCGATTACGGCGAAGGTGTCCGAGTCGGTAAACTTGACGCCATACCACTGGATTGTCTCCGGCTCGCCTGAGACTACAAGCTCGGCGCCTTTCTTGAGGAAAGCAACGACGTCGTCGTGCTTGTCGCTTTTGGCGATGAGGGGGACGGAAAGGGCAAGAGATACTAAACAATTAGGGCTCATTCATGATTAAGAGGGGAAGTTCACCGTTGCTGGCGGGCATTTTCTGAATGGACACTGCTCTGAATCTTTTGGTCCTTATAAACCGCCCAACGTTTCGTCCCCATAGCCCCCAACGCGGCGCCACTAGAGCAACGCCCGTATACCTGGGGTCCATATTTAGACTCTCGATATTGTGGATAAAAGAAGAACACACTTATTGCTGGTAGATCGTTGTCGACATCTGCTGGTATTGGCTTTTAATGGGGAGATAGCAAGTTGCGTTGCCGACTGTTTCAGTCCAAGTCGTGAGTATGGGAATGTATTCTTCCTCCTTAGTGGGGTACGCAACCGCAAGGGTAGATATAGCTCTCTCTTCGTCACTAAGAGTACAGATGCAGTAAGTAGCACTGTCCATCGTACATGTAAGATTAAAATCACCATCACACCCTCCCGCTGGGCTTTCGAGGACCCGCTGGCCTGAGGCCTTGCGATGATTCCAGCGCAGCAATTGTGGCTCTCGCACCAGGCGCATCCGGCCACTCCCAGTTAGCAGCAGCGATTACCTCCGAGAGCTGTAACGCATCGAGTGTGGTGGTCCCGAGTTCCGTGTTGGTGTCGTCGAGCTCAGAAATCGGTGACGGAGAGATTGGGGTGGAGGAATCAAAGAAGAGTGGGGAAGGGAGATCCATTAGGGCAGCAGTAGATGGACCGCCGCGGAGGGGCTGAACGGCGACTGGGTGAAGTGAATGGTGGTGATCAGGCGTTCGCTCTTGGACGTCTCGGGCTTTCCCATCCCGCTCAGAAAGGACAGTACGCGCCGCTTCAACTGTGTTTATGGGTAATGGTGGTTTGGATGGACCTGCAAAGGCAGAGAACGCGAATGCTGAATGTGGGGAGGGATTTGGACCATTCGGTGAAGCGGAACTCATGCAGGCGGAAGATAGCGCTGAAAGGGTTTCGTTGTTATGTGAGGGATTGCCAAACGCGGTTGAGAGGGGTAGATGGGAAATTTCGATTCGTGGGCGGATCGGTGTACCACTGGCAGTTGACGAGCTCGATTCTGTCCGCTGGTGGTCATTGTTGGAGGCTTCCGACTGATTATGAATGTGTGTGGGCGTCTTGCCCCACTTTTCTTCAGCCAGTAATGCTTCGTTGTCGTCTCCCGCCGTCTGGAACGACATAATTGTGTTGCTCCGTCGTGGCTCCCTTCTTGCCGTCCTTTCCCTCCGCACGCTTCGCCTTTGGACCACAAACACACCCGCAACTGCTAGAGCCACGAATAGCACGCCTCCAATTGTCGCTCCCGCAGTGATTCCCGCACTGGTACTAGCATTCGGTGTCGACTGGAGTGGGGGAGCTTGTCGTAATCGTAACAGGGACATAGTCTGAACGGAGGGGAAAGAAGAGATTTACACAACAAGCTAATTTGTATGGTGCATGCTTCCGTGGCATGGCGCTCTAGCGAGCATATTGATACCAATCTTTCGAAGGCAGTGTGGATGGAGGCGGGGCATAATTACAACCACTAGTTTCACCTGCTTGGTTACGACGACCCTCTAGCCCGACGGTAGCAGTTGGGCAGAGTTGCGCTCGGCCTCAGGTGTGTGGAGTACTAGTGAAAACTACGCCTTGTCACAGTCAGCTGACGCGTGACGTGTCAGTGACTTTCCACCTAACCAGCATTTCCGTCCAAACACTTTGACGTTGTTCTTTCTTGGGCGCGTCTGCGCTGCTGTACTGGTCGTCTCTCCATGTCGCCGGCCCTCACGCCATAAAGGTTAAAGAGCTTTACCACGCTCTGAATGCCGTTGATTCAACTTCAAGTGTGGCTGCCTGGACCGCCGTGGGCATAAGGGAGTATCTGCTCGTGGCGGTTGACTGTAATAAGAGTGCACCTTTCCATTTCCCCTTCTAGCTCACCCAACACTACGACAAATGGCTCCGCACATATGCCTCATCACTCGATGATTTGCATGACAGGCTGATAGTCAGCCCGGGTCCGACTATGGCGGGGTGTGAGAAGCGCAGTGCATCTCTCGTCCTCCCTTCACGATGAAAAGCCTCCACACCGCCATTTCTGCACTCATTCTCAGTATATCGCTCGCATCAGCGAACCCAAATCCGGTTCTTTCTGGCCACCGTCGTGGCGACGAATTCCCATTCATCCACGTCCCGTTTGCCCATGCCTCCGACTACACATCCGGCAAGGTGCATATGTCGTTGATGAATGCTATGACCGCCGTCGTCGAGTCCATTAGGCAAGATATCGTGCATAGCACTGGTATTTTCGACCCCATGCTCGGTCTCTCCGCAATCAAGGAATTCACCCCCTGCGTCGACGGCTACGCTGGCTCGCAAAAGAACAACACCTACATGTGCAAGAATGCAGACTTGCACTCGTTTACTCCTCACAGAGAGCTGGGCAGCACTGCCCAGGTCGGCAACGACATATGGGGCTGGGCATATACGGACGAGGAAGGAAAGACAAGAGAGTTTGGCTTGGTTGGCCAGATGGATGGAACTGCGTTTGTCGAAGTTCTCCCAACGGGCCAAATTGCGTATCTGGGTCGACTGCCCACCCAGACGGAGAACAGCGGCTGGAGAGACATCAAGACGATCGGGCATTATGCTTACATTGGCAGCGAGGCAGATGGCCATGGAATTCAAGTTTTCGACCTTGACAAGGTATGCGACATCTGTTTCATAACAAAGCATTCGGATTGACGCTGTTCCAGCTACTTGACCCTGTGTTACTCCAAGAGCCAAAGGAGTTCAGCATTGAAACCGACCTCACTGCCCATTACGACGGTCTTCCTCAAGGTTCTTCGCACAACGTGGTTGCCCATGCCGACAAGAACCTTATCGTTGCTGTTGGAGCAAAGCCCCGCCTTCAGTGCGCCGTCTGACTCGCCTTTCTCTTGCATTATCACCAACATCTTCCACAGTGACTGCGGCGCGGGGCTTATCTTTGTCGATGTGTCAGACCCATCGAAGCCGACTACAATTGGCTGCGCCGGCGAAGATGGTTATGTGCATGAGTAAGTTGCTCCTATATGAACCTCCGCAGTCCTAATTGACTCTTAGTGCTCAATGCCTGACATATTACGGTCCCGACCGCAACTACAATGGCTCCGATATCTGCTACTCGTTCAATGAGGATACATTCACTATCTACGATATCACTGATGTTTCGCGGTCAGTCTCCACAGTCCCCACAGGCGTTCCGCTAGAAATCCTTCTAGCCCCGTCATCATATCGGCAACATTCTACCATGGCGTTGCGTACGCTCATCAAGGCTGGGTCTTTGACGAGAAGGACCAGTCTTACCTGTTCCTCAACGACGAGATGGACGAAATGTTCACGCGCGGGTGGGCCACCGACCAGAAGACTACCACATATATTTGGGACATCAAGGACCTTTCTGCACCGAAGCTGGCCGGCCACTACAAGTCACCCGTGCGCGCCATCGACCATAACCTCTATGTTCATGTCCGTATTCTGCTCGTAGTTTCCGATCCTCGCTGATTAGGGACACAGAAGGGCCTCATCTACGAGAGCAACTACAAGAGCGGCCTCCGCGTTGTTGATGCATCCATGATCGCGGAAGATGCTTCTGGCAAGAGCTTCTTCGAGACCGCGTTCTTCGATGGTGTGTCCCCATTTCCCCACTCTGTTCGGCACTGACATTATTGCAGTCCATCCCGAAGACGACGCGATTGGCGGGGAAGCAGTATTTGGCGGGGCGTGGTCAGCTTACCCGTACTTTGAGAGTGGGCACATTATCGTAAACACTCTGGAGCGTGGGTTGTTTGTCGTCAAGTTGACGGTATAACCGACGAATTTACTTTACACCATCTGGTGGGGTAGACTGAAAGAGCTGTTCGTAGGTTTCTGTCCAATGAATATTGTGAAATTCACGAAGCCTGAGGATTAATTGTTGATTTGACTCGGACTTTAGCAACAACTTGCGAGGCGACATAGACATCCACAAAAGACGGGGACGAAAGGATCCTCCAAGTGGCATGAACCGCTTGGCGTCTGAGTGTGCGAGTTGGAAGCAATCGAAGAGCGATTGGCCCACGAAATGAAGTGTGATCATCATCCCACCCGCTGCATTGAGCGAACTTGAAAACGGCTGCATTGCGGCTGAATTCTGGCTCAAAGGCCATCTGACAACCAAACGCTTGCCATAGCGTCCTTGACGTTGTTCGCGTAGCTTCAAATGCACTTCCGCGCTATAGAGAGAGTCTACAGCACGAGGGACCGACCATCGGTCAGGGCCTATTATGATATTATTATGGTAAATGCATAATAATAATACAAGAATATCATAACATGGTCCTCCGCAGCACAATATATCCATAATATAATATAGTAATAATAATGTAAAATATTATATTATAATTTTATTATAATACAGTATGTTGACGGGGCCATTTTCGAAATCGGCAAAGTGCTTTGGGAGATAACCAACTTTGAAAGTACTCCCACAAAACGAGCACCAATTCGCAGACGACAGAACTAGTGGGTTTAACGGCGTTGCAACATGATTGGAAGGGCCATTTGGAGCCACCAACGACAGGGAATACCCGGTCCAACAGCTCCCTCTGCCGAGCGATCCATAGTGCCGAAAAAATGCTCCGACAAATGATATCCGTGTATATTGTTCGGAGAGAACGAGTCTGGATATCGAGGACAGCCTGATCCAGCACCATATACACTTGAATAATGTATAGGTTGAACGAGCCAGAGGACGCAAAAAGAAAGTACCCACGCAGCGTGACTCGGAAGTGACTAAAGACGGTCGCGAAACGCCAAAAGATAGGTTTGCGGGCGGATAAGGGTTTGGAGAAGACCCAGAACCAGAAGGTGGTAAGACAATTGAAGGTGAGGTTTATGAAGGCGATAATTGGAGTCTTGACGTCGGAAACTTGCATGTTCCTGACTGACAAACGACGACTTCCATACACTACTTGAAAGTTTAGAGCAACAGGAGAAAGATATTTGTTGCTCACCATAAGTTACATATGATCGGTCGCTGCCTTCAGAGCGTATGTATATCTCCCGAGCGATAGAGTATATTGTCCGACAATGGTCTCGCCGACGGGACGACATTTTCTTGGCAAGAAACAAATTCCATTTGAGAACCGCGGACAGTAAAAAAGGCGTCGTTGGGAATACGAGTACGAAAACGAGCAATAATGCCTACTCCAGCAGCTTGCGATGCCGAAGCGAATGCGGGTATGCCCAAAACCGTATTTCGCCAGGAAAAGCCTCCAACAGGTGGGTTCCTGCGCTTATTCTTGGCCGGAAACAATTGTGATTCCCATGGTCATTACGCTTCACCAGGCGATAGACTCGAAAGAGCCATGCGATGTGCGTTTCGGGTGATGGAAGGAAAGAGCAGGGTTGCGTGGAAGGATTTGTTGCGAAAGCGGCCCGGAGTTTTGGTGAGCTTGGAGGCTTTGGATGGAGTGAGATGGGGCTAACAAATTCGCGCTCGGAGTGTGGCAAGTTTCGAGTTAGCGGAGAATCGGACGAGAAGGTGGCAAGGCAACATCATAAACTTTGAGAGAGTGGCGGGAGAATGGGAGAGTGACGAGCAGAGATATGGAAGGCCATAGTATCCATTATTGGTGTAGCGGTATACATGGTCAGGAATGTCGCGGAGCGGTTAGCAAAGAGCCGCGGGTGCAACGATGGTATGGTGAAAGCGTTTTGCGTCCATGGCATTGTCGGCGGCACCAGAAGGGAGGCTCAACAAGCCTAAACTCGGTCTAAGAGGTACTCATCGGGGATGGGTGGAAGGTTCTCGTTGGCCCTGACGAGAGCAAGGTTAGTCGCCATGCAAGGGACGGGTAAGCAAACGCACTTGTGGACGCCAAGCTCGACTGCGAGTGGGATTTCCACCGCATATTGGTACAAAAGCAGCACCTTCGGCCCATCCTATATAACGCCAAACTACTTGGTGGGAATGGGAGGCTTGTAGTCGAAACCGAAACGCAGTTTGGGCGTTATAACAGCAGCAGACTGCTTGTTCGACCGGCCAGGCGTTCGGGTTCTAGGCAGCGTGCGTATGCGGCTCCATTTTGGAAGAGGTTGTCGACTTGAAGAAATCAAGATGGAGGTGGCGAAACAAAATCATATCAGCCTTCGTCACAGCCTCCACGAAATCAAGTTCTCTTCAACCACCTTGGCTGCACAGCGATGTATATGGCGATTCTTACGGCCATCCATCCATCAAGATGACGATGTACACTCACTTCAAGTTGGCGCCAGTGGCCTCAAGCTCAAGTAACTCGAGCCCCGTTTTCAAATCATTTGGTTGAGCTTCACACATTTGCATAGGTCCGAACACTTGCTAACTATTCCGAACACCGAGTGAATATCCTGGAGGCAGGAGAATCGGCTCGCTTCCTAAAATTGACAAGTTACAATCCATCTTGTGCTATACTTCGACTTCCAGCTCACAGTTCCCAGTCCTGAAAAAGCGCAAGTCACCAGATTCTCCGTTCCTCTCCCGTGTTACCAGCACTGCAGTTGAAATGTACCCGCAAGCTTTAAAGTTGCCGCTCTACTTGGGTGCCACATCCTCAAAGTCTCCGCGCTCTTGAAGAGCTCGCCTCTCTGGTAGGGGCTCAGGCTGCCAGTGGCTCACAATCTTCCATATGACAACACTCTCCGCTGTTGCTTTCCTCTCCTTTCTTCCGACAGTGCCTCACCATTGGCCAATGCGCAGCTTTTCCACAGTGTCGGTTATTCTGTGGCTGGCGATTCAATATTTAGTGCGGGGTGTGGATACGGCAATATCATGATGTTCATGTCTGGTTGTTAAAACTTGGCGACTCACGATGCTGACAACGACAATCTGTAGGCCAATCAAGTCTATACATTTGGGTAATCACTGAGTGGGATTACGGGTAACACGGTCCTGGAGACTGGCATCGTCTCATGGGGTATCAAAGTCCAAGCCAAATAAAAACGAGCTCACTGGCTCGAATCATCCTCAGACCCGCTCTCGTCTGAATCCTCGTCGTCAAACCACCCGACACTGCCCAGTCTGACACCGCGGACAGCAGCAGCGGCGCCATCCTCAACCCCGTCATCTGTGTATTCTCGAGAAAGGGCAGCGTGCTGGAGCGCGGTTAAACGCCGGCGGTGTTGCCGACTGGGAATACTGCTGACGAGTCGTTCCCAGCCCGCGTAACTCTTCTCGCGCAGTCGTGCCCATAGCCAACGCATGCCTGTGTGGGTGTGGTCCGGGGGGAGTGAGAGGTCGGGCAGCCAGAGGTCGTCGCAGACCCGGATCCACCGAATACGATTCGATTCTACGCAAATGCTGAATAAAAAATCAACAGAAATAAAGGGAGGACTTGCGTGGTAAGGTGCATTCGACGAGGGACGGACAGAGGGCACCCCACAATGTGACCGTGTCGAAGGCCTCGTCCATTTGAAGCACGCCTTCTTCCCAAGGGTACCAGACATTCACACAGGAAATAACCAGCCGCTGAAGGCAAGAAAAGCGCGACAAGCATCTGCCGATAGCGTCTAAATTTGCGAGAGGCTGCGTCCATGATTAGAATTTAGAAATGAAAAACTGGAAATGTGATGCAGTACTCGCCTGAGGAAACGCCGCGTCAGAGCTGGAGAACAAGTTGGTTAGGCTTAACGCGTAAATATGGGGGAGATGTGTCGATATCTGTTCCAACAAGTCGATATTCCATCCTTGTCTTCGACAGCCAAGAAAGTTGAGGGTGTCGGTACAACTTCGTTCAAGAGCGGCCAACGCTTCTTCAGGTTCCGGTACCGGCTCGTCTATGTCGTCCCAAGTGATAAACGCTGCCCGCAAAGCAGCGCCGCCTTGAATGACAGGCGCGACACAGAGACTGTTTCCGCTGAAATACTCCAGTTGTGGTAAGGTTATGTCCGGCGTAGGGGGTATTGGCGCGGAATGGGAATTGAGCTGGAGATAACTGATGCGCCGATGGCGGGCGAGAAAAGCGCCGACGCTGGTATCCGAGAGCGACAATTGGGAGTTGAGATGGACCAAACGAGGAAGGGTCACTCTGGGGGTTAAGACGGAAGCGTAGTGTGGGTCGGAGGCAAGGAGAACCAACGTGTGGACGTTAACGATCTTCTCGAGAGCCTTTCCAATCAGCTGGTAGAATTGCAGGAACGGTCGTCGCGGGTTAGGTCTAGAAATTCTTGGTTCAAATGAGAGCGGATGGAACTAGGTAAACACGCACGGGTAAGAGATCTCGAACCTTCTCACTGACGATGCTGCGAGGGGGTTTCCGTAGACTAGAGTTCTACAACATCGGGCCACCGGCGTAGTCGAATGGAGAACAATGTCTGCATAGATGTGCCGCAAAGTGAGCGCGTGAAACAATCTCGACACGAGAGAAAGGTCCAGATGCGATTCCTGCGGGACGAAGGCAATAATTTCCTCCAGTGTTTCCGGTGGAAGCCTGGCTATCGGCGTTGAACACCCGGACACGGGAGCCATAAGGCCCACAGCGGCCTTGAGTGGTTCTCCAGCTTGAAGTCTGGGTGTTTGTCTCGCAGGGGATATGTCGTTAATACTAGGGAGAGACTCCAAAAGGCCGTGCAGCATTTGAGCTACTGGCGTCTTATGACGATCCTGCCGCGCGACTACCACGAGGCAGACCTGCTGTGCCAAAACCGGCTGGAGGAGGGCAGGCCGAGCCGAATGCGGAGAGAAGCAGTTTCTAAAAAGCGTGCCAGCTGTCCGTTTGCGAGCGTGTCGGAGGCGGTTAGAAGGGGGGACCTGCGCTGGTGGAGGGCGTTGGAAAAAATAGGCTTCGCGTGCTGTCACGTGCATGACCTTGTCCTTCGCTTCGCGAGCCGACGTCTTCCCATGCTGCCCATTAGCCCCGGATGAGCGGTGTGGGTCCTTGCAATGTCTACCGGAGAGGAACAACCGCCGGAATTGTGTCGGCTGGTCCTTCAGCACTGACAGCTTGTGAAGCCAAGGCTGCTCAAAAAGGCCAGAGTAAGAGCCCGAAAGCAGGCAAAAGTCCCGAGATCTGTATGCCGTTGCCATGGAATACACTGTAGCCCTCTTTTCCGAGTCGGGATGAAGGAGGGGCCTAACCTCGAAAGGTGGGTAGCATTAACGGCAGGATCTGTCGAAATCGCTCGGCTAGCACCCACTTGAGCCCACATTCCGCATTGCCCAAGCGTTCCCAGCTAAGTATTCCCAACAGTCTAGACTGTCTAGTCTCCGAAATATTGATGAACAAAGCGAGAACAATGTCTGTCATGACGCGTGCTTATCTGGTTCGTAGTTCAGTGCCAAAAGTACTCAGAATAGCACTACGCACCTGAACACTTTGCTGCCTTCTCGACTTCGGGCAATGTCTAGACCACGAGGAGACGCTGCCATTCGTTCTATTTTCCGTGATGAATGTGCATGAATACAGACTCGGATACTTGGCTCCCAGTCTCCAGACTGATGATTTTGGGAAAACAGTGAACACATCGCTATTAAGAGTCCCGCCTCTGACTCGGAACTCCCAGCCTCGAGGGAGCCTCGTGCTGGCGGGAGCTCGTGCCTGTCTTTACCTGCGGCAGCCATGAGGCACGTGTGAGTCGAAGACATGTACTTTGCCAGTGGAAAGACACACACATTCACACTTCGAGACAGAGGAGATACAGCGGTAGGAAACGACTCTTCATGGGAGTTCAGTGGATGAACGAGGCAAGACGGGGAAATGAAGGGAAATGAAAAGTCACGAAATCACACAGAGTCCCTGATCGATCATGATCCAAAGATGCGCCATCGGAGAACTAAGTACTTATCTATAACGCCTGAGAGCAGGATAAATTCGTAGAAGCTTTTGAACAGAGAAAGGATCGACATATCGCTGGTGATTTTTTGTCATTCTCATAAAAAAATCGGTAACAATGAGCGACAGGTCACAGGTCGATTGAGTGTGATCTACTGTTCTTCAATTTGCATATCAGTGCAATATCTGTGAAGCTCAGATTCAAGCTGAGCACCGCAAAGGTCACATTAGCTCCGTGAGAACATATAACTTGAATATCTACGACGAACAGGTCAAGTTCTCGACGGGACGGCGGAATGACAGAAGAAGGGAGGTAAAATGATAAAACAGGAATATGTATCAAGAAGCTAGTTTTCAGCGGCCCGGGCATACTCGTGGTGCCAATTTTGAGGTAAGCCACACTAAACACTCAACGCTTGGCCAACTTCTCGAGGACCATCTTCAATGTTCCTGCGCAATATGGCTTTTCTCCGTCACAGATCTGCTGTGTGATCTCCACCAAACCGTCCGAAGGTGTAGGAAAGTTTTTGACAAGGAAATCTGTTTGGAGTTCTTGTATCGCGGGATACCTATGGTCAGAAGTTGCTTAGTCGCGATAAGTAGTGCACAAACATGTTGAACCTACATGGACGTGAACGACGAAAACACTTCCTCGATAATGTTTTCCCGTGAAATGCCCGCCGAGATCGTTTGCAGAGCGAGCTCTTGGAGATCATGGAGGCCCAGCTTGAAGATGGTGATGTCAGCTTACACAGAATGAAGTCATTGCCTTCGTACCTTGTCCGCAAGCCGATACATTGACTTCGGAGAACAGTGTGGTCCCAATCCACCGAGTGCAGGCGATGACTGCTGCTTTTCGGCTTGAGAAGTGAGGGACTGGAATTGAATGCGACCTGTGTACAGATAGCTGAGGAGCGCCTTCCATCTGGTGAAAGAGTCAACGGCATTCGCCAGTTATCGAGTTGAGAAACACGAACGTTTTGTATGCCGTGCCTTTGAGCACGACTACCCGACCATTTCGTGGAGGAGATTTATGCAAAGGTAAGGTGGCGTCAATGTCACCTGGACCGCTTTTGCCCTCGGTATCGGTGCCGCTCGTTGCCTTCAAGTCGTTACGAATTCTGTGGCGAGTTACAGAAGTGTTTGCTTCGGAGCTAGTGTCGGATTCCAAGTCGCTGTCTGACTCATACCCATAGCCGGTGCTATCGATTTCCTGGTCCTCGGGCTCGTATGAATCAAAGTCCACAGTCATTGCGGCCTCCAAAAAGCCTTCTCCTTTGAGCACTGCCGGTATACATGATAAGTGGTGGTGAGAGAGCAGAAAAGACGACGTACACGAGTCAAGATCATCTGAAAACCCTTCCAGCAGGCGCAGGTTGGCAAACAACGGCAACGGGTGAGAGATGACCCCCTTGTCGTCCGCATTAAGTTTCCATCGACTGAACGCATAAAACTTGACATCGACCATCTCTTTCCCATCCAACGTCGACTCCAAAGTCTCCTCCATCTTCCAAGTTAAGGTTCGTGGAAGCGTAAGGCCAAGGGATGCAGGAAATGTAAGTGACACGGAAATAATGCTTGGTGCTCGGGCTTTGCTGGGGTATATATACTGGCCCAACTCGCTAACGGTCGACGATGGAAGGACATATTGGATCTGTTCCGATTGAGGCGTTCGTGCGGATGGCAGGAGACGGATAACAGTCGTCCGCAACAATACCGTCCCATATCTTCCTGAGGCAACCAGATATGGATCGAAAAGGATGGTCACTTGATAAGAAATGACGCTCTCCCCCGCGTTGTCGACCATGGTCAGTCTGGGAAGCTCCTCTGCCCGGACCAGGAAGCGCCAACCAAATCCACAGATACTTGTGACGACATTGGGTCCAACTGACGTCGGACGATGGCCACCGTCAGGCAGAGTAGTGGTGGAAAGCTTGAAGGTCGTGGTGACGTTGGTGGGCGTCCAGTTCTCAGAGATCTTCTCCATGGTGGACGTCGTTGGCGAAGAATGGGATGATATGAATAAGCCCTCCTCTCTAACTCCTTAACCAGGGTCATGCAGCCATAAGTAGAGATGTTCTATTGTGCGAACTCAGGCTTGGAGTAGCTCAGCTTCCTTTCCAGAATTCGAGTCTCGATAACCCATAATGGTATTATGATGTCGCAAACAAAATGGTCATTGCTGGCAGCTTTTAATCCGAAGTAAAGAACAAAGAGTTTCCTTCGGAACGCACCAATCATGAAGCCTAGATGCAGTATGCTCCGTCAACTCCAGGCAATCATATCTGCTTCCCGCTTGCCCTCTTTCAATAGTCTCTGTCTCCGTCCTGAGTCCATGCCGTACTCGTTACTTCCAAGGAAGTTTCGAACAGTGCATAACAACCAGATGCGCTAGCTGTCGCGAATGCAGAATCAATTTTGTCATTGTCAGGCAGTAGCAAGCACGCACCACTTCAGCCTTGTCTTTTCAGGAACGCTTCGTCGCTGGCGTATACTCCCTGGGAGAAGGCAAGGTTAATATCGTCCAAGGTGAAAATGACTCAATGAGACCTGGTCGTTGCCTGGTCGGAAAAGAAAAGTACTGTCACGTGTTTCATTGCAAACCCCTCACTTAAGCTTGCCACAATCGCCAGACAAATTGCGACATAATCCCATCCAACGTTTTGGGACTTCACAATTTGTTCACAATGTGCATTCGATGACTAACCATCCTCATTTTCTCTTGACTCTCATCTGTCTGGCATGACGGAAACAGCCGAGCATGCTTTCGCCATCGCCGTTTCGGACTCCGAGCTCGATGCGCTGCGCGAAAAGCTGGCCCTCTCCCGTCTGCCCGACGAACTAGATGAAGCAGGATGGGACTATGGTGTTCCACTTGCTGATGTCCGCCGCTTGCTCGCCAGATGGCAACATGGCTACGACTGGCGTGAACATGAGCGGCAAATCAACGAAGAGCTGCCCCAATTCACGCGGGACATCGATATAGACGGGCAGGGGACGCTAAACATCCACTATGTCCACCAACGAAGCGCGCGAGCGGATGCCATTCCGCTCTTATTCGTTCATGGTTGTGAGTGAACTGTATCTTTTCCTTTTCGTTCATCGACAACTTCTCAGGGCCGGGAAACTTCCTTGAAGTACGCAAAATCCTCCCCTTACTTGTCGAGGCTCCACCAGAGCATCCCACATTCCATGTGGTTGCAATTAGCCTGCCCGGATATGGGTTCTCCCAAGCGCCGAAAAAGAAAGGGTTTCAGCGCGACCAGTATGCGGAGGTGTGAATACCTCACCATGGCATAGCCCTCATTAACAAACGACAGGTCTGCCACAAGCTCATGCTAGCGCTGGGATACAATGGATATGGTACATATAGAGCATTATCTATTGCACCATTGACGCTCATTATGGCCTCTAGTGACGCAGGGCGGCGATCTTGGCTTTGGAATAACACGGAGGATCGCCCACAATTATGGAGGAAAGCATAGCAAAGCATGGCATACAAATTTTCCAATGTGAGTTACTTTTCTCGTTGTCTTGCTGGTGTTAACAACGTCGGTCAGAGCTTCACCTCCGACTTTCCGCGCCCATCCGATTGCCTACCTTCAGTCGCTCATAACGCCATTCACTGACGTCGAGAAGGCGGGGCGGGAGAGGACAAAATGGTTTTCCACAAAGGGCATAGGCTACATGAGGCAACAATCTACCAAACCCCAAACACTTGGCTACGCACTCTCCGATTCGCCTGTCGGCCTGCTTGCGTGGATATACGAAAAGCTCGTCGAATGGTCCGATTCTTATACCTGGGACGATGACGAAGGTGGGTGTCAACATGCGTATTTCCTGGCTGAACTTTTGCAAGTTCTGACTTGGATATCGTCCTACTACTTTTCCCGTTCTGGGCCAGCAGCGACTCTCCGTGTCTACTTCGAGAATGCCGCAGGCGACCAAGCTGACACGCGCTTCAAAGATCCCGCCAACGTTCCTTCAATTCCAATGGGCATCTCCTTCTTCCCGAAAGAGCTTGCTCCCGCGCCGCGTTTGTGAGTTTTGGCTCTATAATTCGCACTTTCTTATGCTTGTAGATGGGCCCGCCTACTTGGCAACGTTGTCTTCGAAGCCGAGCATGATCGTGGGGGGCACTTTGCAGCTCATGAAATGCCGGACCTCCTAGTCGGTGATTTGAGAACAATGTTTGGAAAGGATGGACCAGCGTTTAGTGTCGTTCCAGGCTTCACAGGATATTAACTGTATAAAGGCTACTTCAATGCTCAAAACTCGAATTTCTCGCCCACAATCTGCTCTGTCAGAGACCACAACTTTTCCCCATTGGCCGAAAATCGTCAGGAGAAAGACAAGAAAAACAGCAAGACTTACTGGGCCAGCCGCGTGCGCCGAAATGGACGCGTTGGCAACAGTCGAGTCGTCCAAATATGCGCCTGGAGTTTCGATCAGACTGGGGTCAAACGCGGCCGCGACGGTCCTGTCAACAGTCAAGCGATTATGAAACGCGAATGATTGGGCTACATACGTCGCCGCGCCTTGGCCGAGCGTTTTCCACTGAAAGTTCTCTGTGTTGGGCTTCCCGTCCTCCGTCAAGTTGCCAAATGCTTGCAGCATTGGGATGACGTCCGGATTGCTATGTACGTTCGTGAAGATTGCTGACGGGTACTACTGAGCTCAAAGGAATGATTCCGATATGGAGACTGACCACCGGGGTGCACGCTATAACCTAAAATTTGGCCTTTGGAACGGCGGGAGAGCTCGATGCCCATTATCACGTTTGCGGTCTTCGCTTGGCAATACACGTTGAATGCCTCATACTTGCCTGTCTTAGGCTTCAGGAGGTGATCGTAGTCGATGCTCTCCGCCCAAGAATGTGCGAGGCTCGAGACAAATATGACACGGGGCTTCCAGCTGCTGTCCAGAGCAGCATATAGCTTGGGGAGTAGCAGCTTCGTGAGGAGGAACGGGCCGACATGATCTGTTGCGAACTGGCTGTCCAGGCCATCAGCTGAGAGGGCGATTTGTGGCCCGAAATGGGCGGCCGCGTTGTGGATGAGGACATGGAGCGGCTCGGGGTATGCGAGAACTTCTACTGCAGCCTTGCGAACAGAAGCCATGGAGGAAAGGTCGACAATGAGGCGTCTCAGATTGGCCCTGGGGTTGTCCTTCTTCAAAGCCTGTTCCGCAAGCTGCAAACTACGCGACGAGTCAGTAACTCCAGATAAGCTTGGCCATTTGGCAAGCTACCGTTCTGCGTTGTGGCCGGTCATCACGACAAGCTTTGCATATTTGGCTATTGCTTTGACGGTCTCGTATCCGATCCCATTGAGCGAGGTACCGGTGATAAGCACTATGAAGATGTTCAGCCACTTGCCCAACGTCGTTGGCGTAGCTCACCATTTTTCCCTTGTATTTCGCGAGAGAATGCTTCCGCGACGTCTTCGGCAGAAGTCTCGAAAGAAAACTTGTTGTTTTTCTCATTAACCATCAGTTTTGATAGATTTGACTCGGATTCTTGTGATAGTTGGATTGTTTTCTAATCAGCTTGAGCGTCCGCACAAAGCTTATAAGTCGTTAAGGATGCTTGAACTTACTAAATTCCCGTGAATGGGGAATGAATCAGCTTTCCGGGGCCGCTGACGAACAACCGAAGTGTTTGTGAAACCTACGCAATTGCTCTGCTACTGTAACTTCTAAGCAACATCGAAGTCGTAATGCTACTTACTCCAAACTTACTCAGCAACGTCAATGCCAACTTGGCCTCATCAACGTCGCGCACGTCGGTCTCACCACTTCCCTTACTATTACTTTCTCAACCTCGCTCACTTTTGACATTGTTTGTGGACTACAAGATCATAATCTTTCAATTCGAAAGTGATATAGAATACAGCAGACTACAAATCATCTCGCAAAGCAGTTTCACAGCAGAAGGACGATAGAAATGGCAAGGGACACCAACGACTCTCGGGGGTCACTCGGAAGGTGCTGTCGACGCATCATTCTGTATTAACCAGCGGTCCATAACATCTGCCTCCTCCCAGCCCAGGACAGCCAGCTCGGCGAACCTCCTCCGCGCCTCGTACTGTGCATTTTGTACGACACGCAACACCAATGCATCCCGCGTATGTTTCTGGAGCTCGCGGATATACGTGTCTTTGAATGCGCGGGCCTCCTCTGGTGGTCGGGTCTTCCGTGTCGACGAGAAGGCGAGATCAAACCAGAGTGGGTAGCATGCCATACGCCAAAGCGGCACGGTCAGCGACATTTCCCAGTCTATTATCGCAACTATGTGGCCAGCGTTGGGGCCTTTCGGAGCGTATATCATGTTCCTACCCAGCGTTCAGTCAAAGTGACATGCAGGACTTGACGCTACCAGGGGTTCAAATCCAAGTGGCCCAAAACAAACGGCCCGGTCGAGCATTGGTCGTATGGATCGTCTCTTGGCTCCATAACGCAGTCGTGCATTCGAGGAAGAACCCTCCTCGCCAATTGCAACCGCCTCTCGCCTTCACGTTCGCTTTTGTTGGTTCTGGCAGCAAAGCTTTGCTTGGCAAGTCCCGGCAATCGTTCGATGAATTGAATATCTTCTGCGAGCGACGCCTTCAGCCAGTGCGCAGAGCATTTCCATGGCCCTCGGTCTCGTTTCGTGTCCTCCATCGCCAGGGCCGCCATCCGTGAAGCCGACTCGTCCTTTGCCCAACTTGCGGGGCCAAGACAAAATCCGGTAGGAGCAATGGTTTGAGACGGAGAGTGCTGGGCCTCAAATTTGAAGTATATGGATCCCATTGATTTGAAGTTAAGGTGGGTCAATTGGGCAATGATTCTGGCAAAATCGCGGACACCGATGAGTTTTGACTCGAGAGGCAGTTCTTCCCAAGGCACACCATACATCTCAACACCTTCCGACTGAGGGAAGTCAGCATTAGTATGGCTCGAGAATTATGAGGAAACGCACAAAAGAGACAACGGAGAAGGGAGCTCCGATGGCGTTGTTTTGGAAGGGGCAGTATCCAAATACTCGTGGAACAGGTACTTCGGGGCAATTTTGTCTGACGAAAGCCATGGTAGCAACCTGATATCTGTGAGTGCAAGTAACGGATGTCGATTGACGGTACTACTTCGGATTCTAGACTGTTATCTGACCGCGTCTTTGCGTTTCGAGCCACGCGTGCCAGGACTATCTTTGGCAGATCTGCGTTAGGAGGAGTATCGAGTTCAAGCTTGAAGAGCTAGTGACAATCAGTGAGCTGATAACTTGCCAATGGATCATAGACGACGCGCCTCGTTGTATACCCCGCTCGCATATATTTCTGTTGGCGCTCTGCAACGAACACCAAACAATTCCTGGGTAACACGCCAGAACTGTGTTATGTCAGGGATTGAGACAGCCTTCCGCCCAAGAGCTCTCGGTGGGATTTGTATTAGTCGAGGGAATAGCCAAGGGTCCGAGGTCGCCATTGTAGTAGATGACGGAAGACAAGTACAAGAGGAGAGAGTTGACGTCGCCCACAGCGGCCACGTTTGGTTGCTCAAGGCTGCGCTTCTTCTGACTCTGAGACAAGTGATGGTCTTGACGTCGTGGAGAACTCCGAATGCCGAAATGTGCTTGCCAAGGATGGAACATCGATGGCGAATCCCGGTTCGGAAAGCGCCGCTGAGTATACACGGTTGTTAGCCTCAAAGTGGGCTTTCAGCTTTCGCGACTTTGCTGGCTCCGCCCAACGGCTTGCTCGACAATGTGGCGGGCCAAAGACGCGGGTCAGCAATCGCCTTATCGCCCATAAGCCCCACAGGAACCCAAACAGACTAATGTAACGTACTTACCACAATAAACAGCGCTTCGGGCTCGCTAAGGGGGCCGGGACCACCCGTGACCTCGCCGTCAAGACTACCATCGCATTCGACCGCACTAGCACCGATCTAACTGCGATACTGCAAGATTGCACATACGATAACGAGCCGAGTGAGCCAGAATATACACAGCCAGGAAAGGTGAATGTTGGTTGAACCCGGCTGGATAGGCAGTTGGACATAACTCTCGCAATGGGAGCCGCCCGCGTGGTTGGCCTGCAGGGGAACTTGAAGGGTGACACCGTGTCTGTCGGAAGGAGAGATCCGCAAGTTTGAGAGGATTCGAAGTGATGGGTCGACTCGGAGGAAGATGCCAATGCTATTTTCCGTTCACCCCGGTCCCCAATGGACTGAATCATCGTCATGATCCGAAAGGGAAAAAAAGTGGTGACATTCTACTGTCACAGTCATGTGATTATTTTCAATCTTGACCTCATCACAGACCTTTCAGGCTTTCTGCGGCTATCTGACAAGCCTCGGCTTTGAGGAGCAGCTTGAGGAGCAGGCGAAAAGTCTCTTGTTGGCTGCTGAGGCAAATGTTGCCCGCATTCGACATCGACTCCCAAATACAAGACCTTACTAAATTGCAAGTTTGTCTGCCATGAAACGAACGAGGTTCTTACGCGGAACAATTGCTGTCCTCAAGTTTGTCACGTCTCCGGTGCGGCGGACTCTGATACAGGAAGTAATTATAGTACAAATCCGCCTGTGGTTTGGCCACTGACATAAACTGTGAAGCTATCCCCAGGCCATGTGTCGACATACTGGCGAGCGCTACACCAGTGATCGCGGCTGTGGATGATGGCTCTTCTTATCCGACCGCGACCGCGACACTCCGCGGTGATTGTCATGACGAATGTCTTCCTTGAGCGGTCCAACCCATTTCCCATCAGGATTCAGTGTTGGTTGCCATTGAATGATACATGTACAGTACTGATGTCATGTCCTGACAACTAGAAACTGTTCTGGCACATCTGGTTGGTCGTACTTTGCGAGAACCCTGTCCGCAACAAGCTCTCCCGCAGGAGTTTGATGGATGACTCGCTCGACCTGTCGAATGGTCAGTAGTTTTCGAGGACTGTGCGATGCAAATTTACCTGCCAAACTCTAGTGTTGCATCCGAATAGCTCAATTGTCTCTGGGCATCGCCGCACAATGGAAAGTGCTTGCTGTGGAGTAATGAGAATGCTAGACTGCTCCCAGTCACTCAAGCCCTCATCCTCAGATTGCGGAAGGGAGTCTGTGTTAGAGCCGTCTTCATCGTGATTTGTGTGTTGGACAAAGTTGACATGGACTTCAGCTAATGTGGAAGAAAGCATGAAGTAGTCCGCAAGTGTATTCTAGGAGAGATGAGTTGAGCAGTGAAAGATAAATAATAATACTAACAAGTGAGGAAGGCTCCACAACGACGAAAAGCTGACGGAGAGCAGTGCATCGCAAGCAGACTTCACGAATGGAACGCAAACTAATAGGCATCCGGTGAACGGACACCCTAGTTAGACGAGCACTGTGAATAGAAAGAAGGGCAGTCCAAAACGAGTCCGCCGCTTTGGTGAAGTTTCGGGAATACGAAGAGGACTCAGAGCTTCGTCCGTGTGTTCCATACAGTTGAATTCGTTCTAATGGTGCAGAATGCAAAAGCGATAAGATGTCCACGAGCCAGTCGGATGAATGGAGACTAAGCGTGAATGAGACCAGACGAGATAGGGCATGCTTGGCGTTCAGATGCACACTCAATGCATGCATATGCTGCACCTTTATTGTTAGTTATTGAGGTCTATGCAAACTGGCACTCAACGAATTTCTTTGGAAGTCCTTCGAGGCTAAGGGATCGTATGCCCACGACGTTATGTGACAACATAGCCGAAATTCCCTCGTGACTTATGGCTGGGCAGCCAGTCAGCGATAGTTGTTCTAGCAAAGGGACATTTGGCGCAATGTTCTTGAGAACTGCGTCATCAATGAAAATCGACATCTACAAGCCTAAGTCAAATCGAGCAAGTGGATTTGGTGGAATACCTTGCATATGAGCGTTAAACTCCTCAAAGTAGAAGTCGTTTGTGCAATCCATGTGGGCAGCAGCGCCACCACATCTCGACTAGGCATTATAAGCGAGATTCTGGCGAGAATCGTGAAGGAGGTCAATATCCGTGGGTCGTATCGACTATCGCTCCTCCCATTTATCTCTAGCTCACGTAGAGTCCCTCCCTCGCTGAGAACTTGTAAGATGTCGGAGGTCAAAGAGCCGTCTCGTGTCCAGGTACATGATTCTAGATTGATGCAGTTGCGCAATGCGTGAACAACAACGGATTCAATATCTTCATTTCCCACGAAGGACTTGGGAAAGTCGCGGATCTCTAGAGAATATCGTCGAATCAGCGAGTGACTTCGCTTTCAAGTTTTTCAAAGGTTACTAGCCTAATCGCCGCACATGTTTCGCAAGATGTGGATACCGGGAGAGTGTTTGAAAGAGCGCAATGACCAGAGCAGATGTTAAGCTTTACGCAATGGATATGATGCCTGAGCAAACCTTTGCTTTCGATTGTTTCTGCCAGGCAAAGATCGAGACGCGAGCATAGAGGTGTGGCGTTGCGAAGTATTCGAATATCTTGTTGACCAGACAGGCGTTGAAGAGGTATTGACTCTTCCTAACGAGATGGAAGAGGATGTCGGAAAGCAGTTCGAGAGGCAAGTCCAAGAATTGCATTCCTTGTCACGTCCCCCACTGCCTGTGACGTGACGTGACCACACTCTTTCTCAGTAACTTACTACTTTCGTTCTCCGACTCGCTGCACACAAGCCCCCGAACTATTGGCCAGCGCTGAGTATGTTCTAAACTTGCGTAACAAATCACACTCATCCTTCGTAGATGTCGAAGCCAAGATGGGTGTCATCCTTTGCTCGCATGCGCAACGGTGAAACTCCTTCGGGCCCACCGCTACTTATGACTCGGACTCTGAAATATCCTACCACTCTACCAGGTCTTTCCCCGGTTCCATCTGCAAAAAAAATGGCTGACAGTGAAAAATAGCCTCCTTGAATGGGAATCCCGTCTACATCAGTCATTCGCGATTAACATCGACGGTCTCGATATATAGCGTGCCCTGAGGCATCTGTGTCGTCTTCATCTCGCTCCTCCACATAAATGACCGACTATCCTATTTTCTCATTCGAAACGACGGCAGATGAAGTAGCGACTGCGTTTTCTAGCGAAATAAAGGGCAAGAATGGTGCGTCCCCTCTTTTGATCTATCCCCATGACATTTCCAACCTAAGCTTTCTTAGTCCTCATCACTGGGACATCTCTCAACGGAATTGGGTTTGAAGCTGCTTTGGCTATTTCCAAGTACGCCAATTTGGTCATTATAACCGGCTACAACGACGAGAGGTGTGTCTCAACCTATGATTCCTATTATTTTTTGCTCAACCATCTGTCTAGATTGAAGCTGTCTGAAGACGCTATCAAGAAGGAAGTTCCAGGAGCAAATGTACGACGACTCGTCCTTGACCTGTCCTCCCTTGCAGCCGTGCGCCAGGCTGCTGTCGAAATCAACGCTTATACCGAGTCTCTTCACGTCGTCGTCCATAACGCCGCCGCTCCAATCGCGCGGTATAAACGCACCGTCGACGGTCTCGAGAATCAGATCGCGGTGGCCCACGTTGGCCCATTCCTCCTCACCAAACTCATTCTTCCTAAAGTCCTCGCATCCACCAGCGAAACTTACACTCCTCGCGTGGTCTTCGTCGCGAGTAGTGCACATAAATACGGACAGGGCGTTAATCTGGAGCTCCTCAAAACGCCTGACGAGTCTAAGCATCATCCGGGATATGCTTACCTCCAGGCCAAGTCGGCCAATATTCTTACCGCGATCGAGCTGGCCCGGCGGGCAAATGGAAAGCTCCTGGCCTTCAGTCTCCACCCAGGAAGTGAGGAATTCACTCCCGTCTTTTCTCTCACTAATTGCTCTCTTACTAGTCATCGATACCAACTTCAACCAAAAGGACGACGCGATCCCCGTCTTGCAGAGTCTGAAACTGCTTGACGCTAACGGGAAGCCCAACACGGTGGACTTTAAATGGAAGACTATCCCGCAGGGTGCAGCAACGTGAGTGCTGTTGCTCAAAGTTGAGATTACCGACTCCTTTTCTTTCTTCAAGTACCGTTGCTGCTGCATTTGACCCGCGCATTACGGCAGACTCTGGCGCTTATTTGGACGACTCCAAGATTGCGACACAGACTGTTTCCCCTCACAGCACCGACCCAGTATATATTCCCACTCTAAACTGTATTCAAAGTGCTGACCTGACTTCACAGGCGAATGCTGAGAGACTATGGACTGCGACAGAGGAAGTTATAGGCGAAAAGTTTGAGCTGTAATCAAGTAGGAACCTGTTGTGCTTTAAGTTTCCGACAGACTAGTGCTGTATAGACACGTGGACTGGACTATAACTGACACAGCCATCCGTTCTCCCCGCACCGTCTTTTGCGGCTTGATCTGCCTGTTGGTTCCATTCACGAGGGACAGCCCAAAAACTCACATCACACCCGCCATCCGCGTACTGCTTCATCTCCAGAATGAGTTTCTCCCAGAGGTCGCGATTTGCAACGCTCTTGCTGGCCGTCGTGTTCCATCCTTGAGCAGCCCAAGTACGAATCCAAGTTGTTGCACCGTTGGCGACATACTCGCTATCGGTGATGAGCACAAGCTTGTTGAATGCCATATACCAGGCGCGGAACTCCAGCGCCGCGATGGCGGCACGAAGCTCGGCACGGTTGTTGGTGTGTTGGTGGACATTCCCAACGGGGCCTTCTTTTTCAAGCGCGAAGCTGACCGTGCCTTGTTGAGGAATCGCATTGAACACAAATCCCACTCCACCGAGGGAGTTAGGTGTGCCATTGTCAAAGCATGCCCCATCGATGTAGATGGCCAAGGTTTTCGGGGGAGCAATGTGTGGGACGTGTTGAGGCCGAATTAGGAAACGGTGAGCGGTGCCAAATGTCTCCCACATTTCCGTAGACCCAAATACATCTTCAGGTGGAGTGTTGGGTGGAGGAACAAATTTAGAGGCCGTCCAGATGCCGTTGTCGCGGTTGCTCATGTTATGCGTTGCAAGCTTAGGAGCTCGAGAGATGATTCAAACTTGAACGATAGTCTCAGGCAGCTCTGAGCTGGACAAAAGATGCTCATCAACAAGGGACAATGAAAACGAAAGAGGCCGCGACGTTGTCAGAGTTTGTGGTTTGAGGTAAAGAGAGAATGTCATGGTCACGCTTGTCACGTCTTTGATGTCTCGCCGTTTCAACCACTTTGGCTTGCGCTCAGCTTGAGCTTGAGCTTGAATTGACCAAGTCGACCTGTCCATTGATGTTATATATCCTGTCAAGACGTCAACTACCGGGCCCGAACTCCGCTGTGAGTTGTTCGTCGTCAACCATACTTACAAGTCGCGTCAACAGCCGCGGCTGTCCAGCAACTGTCCGGATACTTTAAAGCAAGTGCCGTCCGCCCGCCTTCCAGTGGAAATCTCGTTCCTCACCTTATTTCACTGGCATGGAGCTTCCTCCAGAACTCATCGACTACAGCATCGACTTCCTTCACGACGATTACTACTCCCTTGGGGTATGCAGCCTTGTCTGTCGCTCCTGGGTTCCGGCTTCCCGATACCACATGTTTCAGCATGTCACTCTCAGACGTCGCTGGAGTCGCATGGTGGAGAGCCAGTTCGGTGTATTCCTTCTCCTGCTCGCCAACGAACGATACTGTACTTTCCCCCAGTTCGTTACACACTTGACGCTGCAAGACATCGACCCTACCCGAGCACATGGGTTAGAATTCCATCCCACCTATCCCATCTTGCGAAAGCGCCTTCCCGAGTTAACGTCAATCACATTTCTCCGTTGGCAGGACTTGGGGAAACAGCCGCTTGGGGAGCTGGTACCTTACTGTAGCAAGTTGACGGAACTCAAGCTTGATAGCGCGGTCTTCAACAAGACGGCGGACTGTTTTCACATCCTTGCTCTCCTGCCATTGTCACTTGAATCATTGACGATTGCTTCAACGTTTTGGCGGCCGTCCACGGCCCCAAGACCATCCGTCTCCGGGGTAACATTTCCCGCGGCTTGCTCTATCCGGACTCTGCGCTTGAAGAACTGTTTGTTTGCCGAAATACTCGACCTTTTAGTCTCTGAATCGACTCGTACAAACACTGCTCTCCGATGTGCGACGCTAGAGCTCTCAGGTCTTGTACCTCAGTTTTTGGAGAGCACTGGGCTGTTTCTGGCTCATGTTGGCTCATCGCTGCAGCATGTCGAGCTCGGATTCTCAGAATCAGAGGAAGAAAGCAGCAGTGAGCTAAACGAGATGTTTTTATGACCTTATACTGATTGAGTTCAGTTTCATTCTCTAGATATGTTGATTGGAGCAAAAACACGGCTCTCCGATCTTTTAGTCTCAATGCAGTCGCACCAGACACCTTCAGCACTCCCGATCGAACAACGACAGCAAAGGCACTCCTCCCAGGAATTCTTCGCTCACTATCTTGGTCAACGCATCGCTCAATAGAAGCTATACATCTTCTGCTCGATCTATCGTCACCCACAGAGGTAGACAACATTCTTACTTGGGATGAGCTGGACGGACTGCTCGACTCAATGACTTGGTTACGCAAGGTTGCATTGACAATCTCAATTAATTGCCAATATAGGGCCGACCCTCGGGTTGAATATGACGAAGCGATTTCTCGGATCGTGCAACAGTTGCCGAGAATGGCGCAGCGCGACTCTTTTATCGTGTCTCCGGGCCAGGTGGGGTATCGCCCATGGTCCGCTGATCAGTGGGGAGTCGTGTATTGAGTGCGTCCGATTTTCCAGCTGCTTCATGACTCAGACCGCGAACAGCATTCAACACCTCTCGCCCAATATGGCAATGTCCAGAACCGCTGTTTGTGTATTTGTTTCTGATCTCAACAACAGCTAACAGCTCGAAGGATTCAAAGTCACTGCATGTCATGCAAAAGGCTGTAGCGCGGCCGCGTTCGACGGTAGATTCGCTGTTTTGCTCTTAAGGACGGCGCAAATCGGACGTTGTTTTCTCGACTTTGGGACTCTGATCCCATCGAAATATGAATACAGCGTTGATACCCTCTTCTAGTGTGCCTCAACAGCTCGTATAACGTTATCCTCCGGCGCTTTGGATTTGACGCTGGCGACCGACCTCAACAGCAAACACAGCTTCAGTAAAGCCCTTGCATTTTCTTATATAGTCCTCGTCGACTCATTCTCTGCCCGTGTTGGACACCTTCCTTCTCGCTCTATATTCTTCGCGCAACCCTCAATGCTCAATCCCATCGCCTTCGCAATTGTAGTGGCAATATTTTTTATCCTGATGCCTTGTTGGTCTCCCGTCGCTTTCTTTCCTTGGTGCCAGTTGGCAACCGCGTGACTCGGAGCTTACTTCCTTTCTTTGTTTCCTTTTCATCTCTAGTATCAGTTTACATCCTCTTTCATGGATGCACTCGCGCACGGCAGATGGCGGACGGAGAGCCCACCAACTATTATTCGTCCACTGGTCACGGTCGACCCTATCGCGGACCACCCCGTATTAGGCTTCAAACCGCATCCTCCTGGCGTACTTTTGCCTCGCCCACAGGAGGCACTCTTAGCCCTATCTCGGGGCCGCCAACCTTTCGAGCCCACATTACCATCCCCCCTCCCATGTTCAACTTCTTTAATCGCAGCGCAGAAGGCTCAGGCTGGCGTCGGGTGTCCGACCCGGAAGTGCGTGAACCCCTGCTGCTCTTTGGGATGAAGCTAATCGTCTGCGGCGGATAGAGAGGAACTCCAAATCGCACTCCTAGTACGAGGAGTACCGTTTACCAGGCGTTTGTGGATATTGGCACAAGCAACGGCCCCGGTCGTGTTCTTTCCCCGCTTGTTCAAGTGGGGGCCCAGGCTCCCGCTATCGCTCCGTCGTCAAGCATTGAACTTTCACCGCACGGAGTATGATAACGGTCACTATTGCTTTCACATTGCTTTCACCCCCCGAAATATTATACTTGCTGTCTTAAAAAAACTTGAATTGTACAATGATTACATGCCGCGTAAGCCGTCGAATTCGAAAGCCGCCAAGTTTCTTGAAGCCTCTGGGCCTGGGGTGGAGCGTAAACCAAGCTGGATCCAAGACCAGACGGATACGCGACAAGACGGATAAGCACAGCCTTCACTCACAGCCGCATCAGTTTTCTGAAAGGAAGGCTACAGCAGTTATCTCCACTGCTGTGTCGGAGTGGGATACAAAACATGCCTCGAGTCCGCAACCTGCATCTAGCAAACCCCCACCATCGTCAATCATGTCCCCGATACTGCCGAGCCTCGCATCTGATGCACTCACATCGGAAGATGCATGGCCCATTGATGAATCTCGGCCCGATTTGATCGAGTGTTCCAGTACGTCGCGCATCTCTTACAGTGAGCTTTTTGTGTCCGGAGCACGCTCGGGGTCCTAATGTTAGTGTCTCTTAGGTACCGCGATGTTTATTTTTCTCATGCTGATGTTTTACGCGCTGGCTCTTTGGGACCGGTGGCTAAACTTACGGTTGCGTGAAGCGAATATACGAGGTCTGCAACTGACTCTGACTGGTCCGGTGACGTAGCTTACATATACTTTGATAGAACGGCGCATCCTGCTCCAGGCACGGACAGCGCTGCCCTTCTATGGCACGACATGTGAGGGCGAGGACGAAATATGGACGTCATCAAGCGCAAAACCGCCGCAGAAACGATCCAAGTCAGCACATTCTCTACCTAGAATAACTATCACGCCGCCACCATCTCCTCTTAAGCTTCTGAGCCCTCAAATCGACTCGCCGTCGGAACACCGTCCTTGGGATGCGATTGTGCCGGCGCCGCTCTGTAAGCCCATTCTTCTCCTTGGATAGAACGCGTTCTGATTGAGATGCAGCAAGAGAAAATGCCCAGAACGCTTCACTGTTAACGCCACCGATGGCTCATTCTCTCAGCGATGTATCGTCGTAGTTTGCCGTTCAAGTTGCAAGGCGCTAGCAATCAAGCGCAATGATGTAATCATAAATCGATGATGATGATGAACTTGAATGCTTCCAATTTACTTAAGTATAATTACTTTTACTCGAATGATATTTTTATTACAGTGCATTATCCGATACGAGTATTTTCATGATGTTTAGTGATGTCGGGCGTACCATGCAGAAGAACTTGAATGAACCTGAGCTCCGATGCCAGTGCTTGCTTTGCCAATTTGTGGGTGGTGGTGGCGATTCCCGAAGTTAGGAGTTTGGACCTTGATAGAATTAGTGCTGGCCAAATAAAATTATATTATGTTCGAGAGCTAATATATTATAATGATATCGTATTCGGAGCCTCAACACAATAATATATTTGTAGTATAGTATAATTATATTCAGATGCAAAATATGATTATGTTATGAATATATTCAACTATAATCTTATCCCTATATAAATTTGACATAGTTGCCACAGGAAAATTTGCTAAACTGTGAGGGTAACTTCCTTTCAGGCCTCTTCAATTCCCTTTGAAGCAATAGGGACCCTCAAAATATAATCAGGGACATCACTCCAATGATTAAGTCAGCTAGTGCCTGGTAGAAACTTGATCAGAGGTCCTACACTACGTTCAGCAGAGTAATCCCAAAGTGATTGTCAGGGGAACCCCTGCTTCGGCCTCCTTTGGACCGTCTGAGCGCATCCAAGTGTAAGCCTGGCTTACATAGCTACCTGTAGATCACATGTCCTTTAGTCACTTATCCCTGTACCCTGTCATAGTTCTCAAATACAGCAAGGTTCTGTTGTATTGCTCGGATTTCCTCAGTGTTTCCTGGTTGGGCCACCAGGTTTCCACTTTTTTTACAACACACTAGCTCTATTCTTGCTTTTTTTTCCCCTTCATGGCATCAGCACCAACAACTCCGCGCTTCACTCGCCGTACAAGCGCCGGCGCGCTACTTCCCGAGCTCCCAACCCCGCGTCGCCGAAGGGTCCGTTCGGCCGAGCCCGCGGTCGCCGACATCACCAAAGAAGCCGTCGAAGTGCTTGACGTGGGAACGCCGGCGGTGTCGTGGCGGCGCCACGCATTCTCTTCTCCTCCCTCTTCCTCGCCGACCTCGCCAACGACCTCGCTGGAAGCCCCAGCCTCCCCGTTCGCCTCGCCCCACACGCCCCCGCCGCCAGCCATGTCCCGCGAGAGAAAGGGCCCGGCCGCGTCGGCTGCGCGTCGCCCTGGGCCACGACCAAGCTCTTCACAGGCTCACGAAGAACCACCACACCTCCAAATCGCCTCTCGCACGCGCCTATCACCCCCAGCATCGTCCCCCGGGTCCACTGAGCCCGCGTCTCCGCTGCCGACTGACGACGACGCGTCTCTCGCGGTCTCGCTGTCTCCCCGCGGCTCCACCTCTCCTGTCTCGCTCCACAACCCGCCGACCCCACCACCTGCTCCCACGCCACGTTTCCCGCATCCCACGCAGCCCTCGGCGCTTGCCACAACGACCGTCTCACGCAATTCACGCGCAAGAATGACAAAACCCATCGTATTCCCCGCCTTCACGGACGAACCCACCCCCCTGTCGATTCGTAGCTGGATTGGGCGTTGTGAGGACACAATGGAGTCCTTCGAAGCTATGAATCCGTCGCACAACCTCACGGCCCGCAACTTCATCACACTCGCTGGCTTGAAACTCGAACAACGCGCCGTCTCGGACTGGTGGGAGGAGAACCGGGATGAGCTGAAGAAGCTCTCATGCTTCGACGACTTCACGCTCAAGCTCCGCGAGAAGTTTGTTCGCTCGACTTGGCGTATCGAGGCGTTGTCGGACTTCTACGACTTGCGTCAGGGCTCCTTGGACGCAAAACAGTGGGTCAAGGCTATCGAGAGAGCGCGCGGGCTACTCAACGCTGCTGGGGATGAATTCAAGCTCGCGGATAACATTATCGTGCATCACCTGTTGTTTTATGCCCACCCAATTCTCCGTCGTCGCATCCTCAACACCCCCACCTTCAAATTGAGCTCGCAGAAGATCGAAGGGCTGTCGACACTGCTCGAAGGGACGTGGGATTGTCTTGTCGGCGAGGGTGTCATCAAACCTCGCCATATGGCAGTCGCTTCGTTGCCTTCCGGGTCCTCCTCTGCTGTCTCTCATTCAACAAACACTCTCCCGACTCCGCCTCCGCTTCCTACTATCGCGCCGCTTACAACAGCTGAACGCAACGCGTTACGTGACGCAGGTGGATGCTACAATTGCCGTCGGAAGCCTGGTGACCCGGGATGGGTCCAACACCGCCAACACGATTGTTTGGGTGACCCAGCGGCGGGTATTCCTCCCCGCGCTACGGTCCGTCGTGTGGCCGCCATTATGGGACGTGCAAACAACCCCGAATCATCTGACAGTGAGGCTGACTACTTCTCGCCTGGTATCACCACGTTCCCTCGCCACATCGCCGCTGTTATGGCTTCCTATCCGCATGACAATGTTTTCGACTCCGACTCTTCCGACGACCTCTCGACGCGTGAAGATTGAAGCTCCTGCTGTTGTGTTTTGCCATTGGGACTACATTATTCCCCGTTTAATCACGTTCTTCATTCTCGCCCCTCCAGCTTCACTTCCGCCCGCCGATTGGGATAAGCTCCCTGGCATCTGGTCCTCGTGGGCTCCGTGCCTGGCTGGCCTGGTGTCCTGTTTGCTGTCTTGGTTGTGTCCGCCCGTTCGGTGCGCTTCATGGTACTTCATCTTTTTGTTACTGTATGGTCTGGTGTTTTAAATTGGGGGAGGGTGTAAGCCTGGCTTACATAGCTACCTGTAGATCACATGTCCTTTAGTCACTTATCCCTGTACCCTGTCATAGTTCTCAAATACAGCAAGGTTCTGTTGTATTGCTCGGATTTCCTCAGTGTTTCCTGGTTGGGCCACCAGGTTTCCACCAAGGCATATTTGACTGGTGCCCCCTCAGACACTCTGACCCACCCAAACCATTGTCCACGGCCTTCTCCACCTGCACAATCACCAATCCAGCTGGAGCAGTGAGCACCTAGGTCAATGCGCAAGATATGGGCTATAGCCCAGAAGGGCAATGTACAGAATATGGGCTGTAGCCCAGGAATATCATAAGAGAATAGTTTTTCTCCTTATTTTTATTATTTCTAGTCCTATTACATACTATTAGTCATGATATTAGTTGACCTAACACCGGTGGCAATGGTAATGGCGGCCGGGAGATGGGAGCCCGATGACAGGTCCAATGATAGCATTACAGACAGCCCTTATGGCAGACCCAACGGGAGTTTGGCTGGGAGTCAACTGAACAAAGAGAAGTTCTTTGTCTTTTGTAAAGTAACATTTCATTCATGATTAATCTGTTGCTGCTCTACGTTTTGGCGTGCTAGAATCAAGGATTGGCCGTGACCGCCGGCCACTCACGCCGGCCACTCACGCTGGCCTCTCACACCAATCTATGCTCACGCTCGGTAGCTCCCCGCTGCTCGCAGCTCTCCACATCCAAGGACGTCTCCGGTCTGGGCGCGGGCGGCAGCCGACTCGTGGGCCTCGATCTCCTCCGGCTCCGCATGGACCTCGACCATGACGAACTCGGCCCGTGACGCCCTCCTACGTGTCCGTCGACGACTTGCGCGACGCGCTGCCAGTGCCTGGCGTCGACATCTGGGTGCTAGCGCGCCGATTCGGGGGCAGCCCGCTTGGGAACGGCGGCCGGCCCGCGTGGACCGGGGCCGGGGGGCTCGCACCTTGGCCCGGGGCGAGAATGGGGACCAGGATCGACTGGCGCTGGTGCGGTCCGCACTTGGGCACCAGCGGCCTCTTCTTCCTCCTGCTCCTATGCTTGCGCTTTATTGTACCCGATCCCCTCGAGGCCTCCATCTCGTTCTCGCTCTGCGGCTCGACCTGTCTTCCTCCTCCTGCCGTATTTCCTGCTTACCGCTGCGGCGGCGGCCCCGGCAACATCCCGAGCCCGCCCATCCCCGCGAGCTTCGCCGAGTTTTTCGTGGTGTTGCTCCTCGTCCTGCAACGCCCGACTGGACAGGCACCGGCGCCGCGCCGAGCCGGATGCCCCGCAGCTTCGCCATGCACTCCTCAATCGTCCGGCGTCTCGCTGTCTCCGCCTCTGCCTCCTCGTCAGCGGCTAATCTCGCCTGTGTCACTCCCGGGGAGCCGGCATCCGCGTGGCGCCGCAGACGCGAGGTCCACCATCAACCCGCGCCGGCTGGGGCTGTGGAACACCGCGTCAATTGGATCTGAAAAAGAGGCATCAGCACACAGAGAAGGTGAAGGACAAGTCGAGGGAGAAAGAAAAGTAAACACTAACTGCCATCCTCCAGGAGTCCTCCTCGTCCAACGGACTCCAACCCTGCCCTGGCGCTGGCCACGCTCATCACACTCCCCCTCTTCTTCCCCACATCCATCGTAGGATTCGTAGCCATGACCAGGGACAGCAGTCCCTCCGCATACACCCTGCCAGGCCCCGAGGTGCCGGGGCCCGGTGTTAATCGCCCCCGATCTTGAGTGCTGCCTATGGTGTTCTGCTGCAGCTGCCAGTGCACCTGGCGCGTTGTTATCCGCGAGATCGGCGAGCGCCAGGCCCAATCGCATTCGCTCGGGCGCTTCGATGGTGGTGGTTGGGAAGCAAGAAAGGTCTCGTGGGAGCCCGCTCGGACGGCCGATCCGGGTCGCCGGGCTCGTATTGTTGATGGTATAGGTTCCTGCACATGCAAAGACTTCCGCTATGCGCTTGGAGTGACGGCAAGGTCGAGGAGTGCCACAATACAATGATGCTGTGCCGGAGGCCCGGAGCAGCGAGCTGACTGTCCTCAGTGGCCCGGCCCGGAGGCTGATCAGAATTTTGCATAGGCCGAGGATATTGTCACGGTGGGAGCACAAGTGCTAGCCTTTTGAACTAGCTCAGCAGGCTGCAGTATCGCGTCTATCTACGGGCCCAGGGTGATTAGTGTAAATCAAATACTGTTCTTTTAAGATATTGTAAACCACCTCAGGCTACCACCCCCCTAAACCTCTTAGGGTTAAATACCCCCCCCTGACTTCTAACCTAAAAGGTTCCCCTGCATGGGTTTAACCCACATCCTATGGCTGTTCCCATCACCATGGGTGTCTCCACCCCCTGTCACATCACACCAGCTATTTAGTGCCCGTGGTTCACCCATCCTGAGCAAATGGTATTAAATTCATTTTGGGCTGTATACTCGTGGGAAAAATATATAGAAATCATATAAATGGTCTGACTAGTCTAAGGTAATATATTATGGTGATTAGGGGACGGGGAAAAGACTTTGACTGGTGTGGGGGTTTAGTATGTAGGGGGTTTAGGGCTCTGGGCTAGAGGGGGGGTCTAGATGGCTATAGAGTGACTAGCATAAGTAGATAGAAAGGTATTCTCTGCTCTATCAGAGTATAGGGCCAGGAAAAGAACTACAGGTATGTGGGTTGGCTTGCAGGGCTTCTATACATGATATCATCTTATATATTTATCCAAAAGAATCATAGAAGGGGGATGGAGAACAAGTCTGAGTCTATAAAGTAACTAGTCTAGACAGGTGGAAGGATATTTCTGGTATATAACAGTATATAGGGCAAGGAGAAGCACTAAAGGTAGATTTATACTATTATATATTTTTTGGAAAAATAAATGCCAATGGCATGTTCAACCTAGGCAATACCCAAAGCTTCATTGGGTACACCGGAACACCTACTTTGAACCCCCCCATGGTGTACCCAATCATGCCTGATGGGACAGGTGTGGGTGTATCCAACCATTAATGTGGGCACACCCTGGAACGCCCACCCAAAGTGGAGGGCATCACCCATATCTGATGGGATCACCCAAACAGTTTCCGGCCAGCGCCCATGGGTAATCCCATCATCGGGCATGTGGAGATGCCCACACCTGCCTGAAAAGGCAAGACAGCACCCACCACAGATGGCTACACCCAGCGTGCTTCCTGACTGGGTATGTGGAATACCCACCCACTGTGGGTCCTCCCCCACCTTCCCTCAGAGCCCACCGGGTACACCCACGTGCCTGTCAATCAGAATAGGCATCCCTATCAGAGGCCAACACGTGCTCACATATTTGACCTGTCACTTGCCGCACAAACATGTATCTAATTCCGCAGACTCACTATATACCAATGCGTGCTTATGCTCTCACCCATTGGACATGTTTTGACGTGTCACTCGCTTTCCCCAAACTTAATATATCCTTGTCAACATGTGTGCTCATGTACTCATGTGTTTGAGGCGTTACCACATGTTTTGACATGTCACTCGTCGCCCAGCAGGCTGGAAGGACAAAACACCAAAGAAGAATCTGCATTTAAATAAATACATTATCATCATTTACATCTACATTGTCTACGATGAATCTATCGAGGGTGAATAATTGGTGGTGAAGAGGGTGAATAATTGTGAAGTCCAAGGCAAATTTTTCGCTAAGTCTAGTATGTAGGGGGTGAATAAAGGTGAATAATACGACTTAGGCAGTCTAGACCAAGTTGCCCAGAGTCACACTATGTAACATGTGACACAGTGTTCTAAAAAGGAGCTTCTATTAATAGATACTGAAGTTGGTAGTTTTAGTGCCTAGCAGATCTATAACTGATGAGCTTCTATATCTATAACTACTTAATGGAAATACATGATTTAAGTACTGTTAGGAAGATTTTTAAGAGTATTATTAATAGTCTATAGCTCCTGATTACCATCATATGATATACCCACTATAATTACTATTTAGTCATACAAAAGGAAATATCTGGTACTCCAACATTATGAGGTAGATGACCTATATTTCCAGAGACTCCAAAGTATTATAAGACTTTAGTGTGTCCACTTGCAGTCCCAAGTAAATTTAACACTGAGAAGGCAAGGCATTCACTCATCAGTGGTATTTGATCTCCATCAACCCTGAAAGATAACATGGATATTTAGCTAGTCTGGGTGGATAAGGCTGGGAGGGAGCTCATTTCAAGGGTATACCATCCAAATCTACCTCACTCATCATATATTACATTAATCTGTTGACTGCCAAGTATCACTGAATATAGAGTTGAGGAGCATTTTGCTGATGTCTTGGGTCCCCATGCATGGAATCTCATGATCTGAGTTGATATAGTTCTGCGTATTGGTCTACTATAATCCTACCCATTAACAACCATGCAGCAAGTGTTAGGGTCAGTCAATTCCTAGAGAACCTTGGTGCTATATAACTCCGGATGGAGAGATGCTAGAGGGGCAGAGACAGCACTTTCTAAGATGTGGACCATACTCTTACTGGTCTATATGCTTTGATTTTTCAGATTCAAAAAGGTCATGCCATAATAAACTTTTCATCTTTGCAATATATATCACTGATAATGGTACTGTGAAAGATCCAGAATAGCTATAAGGTTAATTCAAGTGTGGGACAGGTTTATTTAAAGGTCTATACTATCCTATGTTCAAGTCTTGCATCATACTTGAAATTAATTTCTGACCAGTTGTAATAGCGAAGACAC